TGCCCACCCCCTACCCCCATTGCCCCTGGTAACCACAATACAGTTTTCTCTGTCCATGTTCAGTAGAATTTTGGTAGACAAATGAGTACTCAGTAGCTGATGTCTGCCTTTCCAGCTAATGTCAGTTCGTTCCTTCCTTTGCTTGCTTGTTCGTTCATTCATTCATTCAAAAAAAAGATTTACTGAGGGCCCACTATCCACAGGATATGTTTACTTATCTCAGTCTTGAATATCATGTGTGGCCATTATACCTAGTGTAGGCTTTTGATGTTTATAGGTACTGGATAGGCCACGTCTCATTTAGGACACATTTAGTCAGTCAGGTTTCCATTTTAAGTTGACAGTACCTCACCATTTCTTCCCAAGTGGGCCATCACTTAGTGTATAGCCACTGATAAAATCCTGCAACCCTGGTCTCCCATGTCTCCTGATGTCATGTCCTCAGCACTTTCTTTTGCTGCTCCCAGTCTTTGCTCTGGCTCAGATTTCAGTTGACTGAAATCCCATTTCAGTCAAACAGTTGATCAGTTCAACCACCACCACCAAGTCTTCTATCAAATAGTTGGTTAACTGAAGGAATTGTTTTTTGACTGAGATAATAGCCATTTCAGTCAGAGTAGAAAATCAGTTGCCCATTCTAGACCTATTATATTAGCTTAGGTAATGCAAGCAGTTGTAGCAAATAAATCCTCAATCTCAGTGGTTTAAAGCAATAAAAGTTTATTTCTTGCTAATGTAAAGTCCAATTGGTAGCAATGTGGGAATGGAAGGTTTTCTGCTCCACTCACAGACCAGGCTGATGGAGTCAACAGGGGCCTCATAGGATTGCCCTGGGTTTGACGTCCACCTGGCAAAGGGGGAAAGAGTGAATGTGAAAGATCCACAGGAGCTTTTTGTGGGCCGGGGCTAGAAGTGGCTTAATCATTCCTACCCGTATTTTGCTGGCTAGAACTTGGGTATGGGTACATGGCACTACCTAACTGCAGGGGAGGCTGGGAAAGGTAGTCTATGCGTTTGCCCAGGGAAAGGAAAACCTAATGAGCTGGTCCTGCCCCACCTAGCTAATGACTTTCCTTATGTGGTACCTGCTCATTGATTCAAATGATAAGGGACAGGGAAGGTCCAGAGATATGGAGGAGGAATCTCCTTTTTGCTTTTCTAAGTGGCTGCAGTCACAGTGCTGGGCATTAGAGTGGGAAATGTCTACATTCTGAATTCTTAACATATCTGAAAATTGCTATTACTCTGTTCTCACAGGGAAATAAATGCTCGACTTGATGCTGTATCTGAGGTTCTCTATTCAGAATCCAGTGTGTTTGGTCAGATAGAAAATCATCTCCGTAAATTGCCCGACATAGAGAGAGGACTCTGTAGCATTTACCACAAAAAGGTAAGTATGATAGAAATCAAAACTATTAAAACTGATTATATTCTTCAGCATGAGGACACCAGATATTAAAGGAAAACTTCTCAGAGCTTGATTGTTATTGTTATTTTATTTTGTAAAATCTTGCAGATACCGTGAGAGAATCCTCAGAAATTTTAATTGCACAAATTAAGGTTATTCCAGTTTTTGCATTGTGAAAAGTAAAGTTTGCCGTCTTCTGTTAACTGCAGCAACACTTGGAGGCCCTTCTGTTATAATACAGGACATTCTCATGTTTCATCCTCAAAGTGTGGACTGTCATCAAAATAGGAAATTTACTTAGACTAGCTGCTTTTAAAAAGAGATGCCTTATTTCTTTTGACCTCAAAACAACTTTTTGTTAGACTTAACCAAAGGAAAAATCTGCTAGTGTAATATTTGTGGTGGTATTAATGTGCAGACAAGTTTGGAGATTGAAGGTAAGTAAAAAGCATTATTTTGTTTTTCATCACTTAAGCTGTACAGTGTAAGTCATAACAATAACAAGAGAAGTTTTCCACACTTAGGGAAATAACTTACTTTATCTTCAAAATATGCCTAAAATTAAAAAAAATTATCAGTTATATTTACAATTGTTAATAAACTTTTTATTGTGTTTTACCAATTGCAGAAGGTATTCACATACATGAGACCCTTTGTTCCGTAGAAAAACTTTGTGAGATTGAAAAGATACTATGTTTATCATCTTCATACTGAGGGGAAATTATGTGTGCTGCTGTCTGCCTTATATAATGCTACAACAGCCTGCATTATCTTGGCTAAAATGATGATGCTGAGAAAAGAGTTAGTAACTTGCTAGTAAGTGACAGAATTAGTATTTAAACCAGGGTCCTTCACTGGGTTTTTAGTGGCCCACTTTTACCATTTTTGTGATAGTAGTTTTGACTACCATTGCATTTTTTTCCTGGTTGTCCCTACATAAGCAAATTTTATTTTTTACCCAAATGTAAATCCTTGCCAATTTAATAATTTTATTGTAGAACAATTTTTATATGCCCAAATTTTAGTTGTGACCAATTTTTCATTAGTCTTTACTTTTTTTAGGCCTTTTCCCCCCACAAAGTTTTACTAGAACGATAAGTACTGCTTCTGAGAATACTTGCAGTGCCCAAGAGGACTTATGTAACTGTTCCATATGCTTCAGCTAAATTTGAAAACAAAGAACAAGCCAGAATTAGGAAATACTGATCCCTAGAAAAAAAATGCATGAGTTGCTTATGGGGTTAGTGGAGTCTATTGTACCATTATTTGGTGCGTTGTGTGTTGTTTTGCTGGCAATAGCAGAGGCTGTCCTGAGAGTTGAAAGTTTGATGGTTGACTTTTTTTTTTGTGAGGAAGATTGGCCCTGAGCTAACATCTGTTGCCAATCTGCCTCTTTTTACTGAGGAAGATTAGTCCTGAGCTAACATCTGTGCCCATCTTCCTCCAATTTTATATATGGGATGCCACCACAGCATGGCTTGATGTGCATAGGTCTGTGCCCGGGATCCGAACCTGTGAACCCCAGGCTGCTGAAGTGGAGTGCGCGAACTCAACCACCACTGCACTGGGTTGACTTTTTTGAGGCTGAGGAGTGGGTGTCAAACCATTTGTTATTTTGCATCCTTGGCCCAGTGCCTGACAGACAGTGCCTCTTACCTTTACCAAGCAACAGATCTCCAAGCACCTTACCTTCTCTACTTGAAAGGATTCATTGACAGATGTTAGAGATTTTTGTTTTTCGCAAGAGAAAATAGGAGCAAAGCTAAAAAAATTATCAATTGCTAATCAAAAGAGCTGAGTCAAAGCATCCAGGCATCAAGATGGCAGTGTCATTCCATGCTTCTGTGATTTCTGTTTGGTCTTGCTGCCTCTCTTTAAACTTAACTTTGACATTTGCATTTCATAAGGTTTGTGTATTTTAAAAGTTTAGCAACTCTGGTAAAAGTCAGAATCTAATTTATTTTATTGAGATATAATTGGCATATAACATTACATTGGTTTCAGGTGTACAACATAATGATTCAATATACATATTGCAGTTGATCACCACAGTAAGTCTAGTTAACATCCATTGCTACATATAATTACAAAGTTTTTTTTTCCTTGTGATGAGAATTTTTAAGATCTGCTTTCTTAACAACTTTCAAATATACAATACAGTGTTATTAACTATAGTCACTACGCTATACATTTCATCTCCAGGACTTACTTATTTTGTATGCAAGTGGAAATTTGTACCTTTTCACGCCTTCACCCATTTTGCCCACCACCCCCCTGCTCCATGCCCCACCTCTGGCAACCACCAGTCTGTTCTCTGTATCTATGAATTTGGTGTTTTTTTTTTGGATTCCAAGTATAAGTGAGATCATACAATGTAGAATCTAATTTATTTAAAAGTAACCAGTATGCAGAGCAAGAATTACTTTTATTTTAGCGTTTCAAACTATACTTTACTGAGGGAACTTATGACTCAGAAGCTGTTTCTTGTTGCTGTTTTAATGTTTACACAAGAATATGCCTAAAGATTGATTTCAAAAGTGAAGATTGGAAATGATTTGGTAACAGACCAACTTTAGGAAGTCTAAAAGCTTTAAACCAAATTTTTATAGATTAGTTAGCTGGCTCTTGGAACATGCCATCAAACACGTGTCTTTACTATTAGATCACTCTAAATAAGCTTCTGCTGTATGCACCAAATGGTGAGTGATATCCTGGGTACAGACTGTGCCAATTATGTGAAAGTCATAAAATGGTAAGGAACACTGTTTGGATATTGTGGAAGTGGTAAGCTTAGGCCATATGGCTGCAGGGAAAGTGCCATGGAATGGCACAAATAGGTATTTTTATGATGATAATAATAGAGGATACCAAGTGAGCCAACTCGGAAATAAAATAAACACTTCTTTTGATAGTAAAACTTTAAAGGTAAATCTTACAAAATAGTGCTAGTCATAGGAACCCATATTAACTTTGCTCAAGAATTATTTTGTAAGAGAGTAATACAGAACTGGTAGGGTTGGTGAATACCTTTAAAGGATTATAGCACTTAGTAAATGTTGAAAGGAGAATGTTTCCAGAATTTTGTAGGCAAGAATAGTTTCTAAGTCAGAGTGGTATAAGCCCAAGGCCACATTTTCAGTATGGAGCTTAGGCTGGCGTTCTTCCAGTCCTGTCTTTGCACTTGTGAACGTGTGCTGAAGCTCTTCCACAGAGAAGTTTGCTGCCCAGAGTGGGGTTGAACATGAGTGACTCCAGGGGCAGTTACCTTACCCTTATCCTCAGCAGTCTTGCAGCTCTACTGAGTTGTTTAGCTTTAGAAACTTGAGAGCAACCTGCCTTGGGTACAGGACTTGACTGCAAAGCACTCCTGGTTTTCACTCTGCTGCTGTTGCTGACTTAAACTTTGTATCGTGTCTGAGTGTGAAAAATCAGTCCCTTTCTTGCCTTTCAAATTACAGTAATCACAAGAGACTATTATTCAAAGATTATATTGAAAATGTTTATTTTCAGTTCTTCACTTTTGTTAGAATGTATCATGAAGTGACTATTGGCCAAAAAACTTCTAGGCTCCACATTTATCCAAATACTCCTGCTTCCTATATGTTATCTTTCTCAGCAAATGGTGGCCTTTCTGGAGAAGAGGTGCTTTATGATATACTTTGAACTCAACTTTTGTTCAGTTGGGCCTAACTCCTTATTTTTCTCCATAATTTACTTCATTCCTTGTATTGTGTAAATGTGTTCTTAGTATTAATTCATTTTATAAATACTACTTATTATGTGTACTTGTCATTAACACAACCCTAAATTGTCCTCTCATCTCAAGATATTTATTTTCATCAAATGTTCTATTAATTTCATTTCCTTGAGCCTTCTGACCTGATTCAACCTGGACTGGTTGCCTCCTATACCTGTTGTATAAGCTACCTTCTTAGATTCCCTTTATTTCCCTGGAATTGAATTTTCTATTTTCTGTATTCCATGACTTCATCTTGGTTTATTCCTTCATTTTGGAGAAGTACATCCTGTAGAAGCATTCTGAGAAAGAGTACTGGAAGTAAATGTTTTGAAACATTGATGTCTGGAAATGTCTTTTTTTCTGTTCTCACATTTGATTGGTAGTTTGAGTATAAACTTCTAGGCTATAAATTATTTTCCTTTAGAATTTTGTGTTACTCCATTGTCTTCTAGCTTCTGCTATTATTGTTAAACAGTCTGGAGTCATTCTGATTCCTGATTTCTTTGTGTGACTTCTTTTTTTTTGTTCCTCCCCTTCTAGAAATTGGAAGAGTTTCTCTTTGTCCCCAGTGTTCTAAAATTTCATGTTGATTTGCCGTGATTTGGTTCTGTTTTCATCCATTGTATTAGGCCCTTTCAATCTGGCAACCAAGTTCTGGGAAATTTTCCTGAATTATTATTATTATTATGGTTTTTTTTGGTGAGGAGGATTGGCCCTGAGCTAACATCTGTTGCTAATTTTCCTCTTTTCACTTGAGGAATATTGTCCCTGAGCTAACATCTGTGCCAGTCCTCCTCTACTTTGTACCTGGGATGCCGCCACAGCATGGCTTGATGAGTGATGTGTAGGCCTGCGCCTGGGATCCGAACCTGCGAACCCTGGACCGCCGAAGCAGAGCGCATGAACTCAACCACTCTGCCACAGGGCTGGCCTCCTGGATTATTTTTTTGATGATTTCTTTCTTTAGGCAACTCTATTATTTGAATTGATTGAATCTCCTGGACTGATTGTCTAACTTTCTTTGTATTTTCCATCTCTTTACACTTTTGTGTTACCTTCTTGGAAATTTTATCACCTTGATCTTCTACCTCTTTTGTTGAATTTTTCATTTCTTCTGTCATAGTTTAATTTCCAAGAATTTTTGTTTTCTTGTTCTCTGAATGTTCCTTTTTTTTTTAATAGCATCCCATTCTTTCATGATTGTAATATTCTCTGTTTGAGGATATTATTAATAGCATTTTTTTTAGAAGTTTTCTTCTACTTGTATAAGCTCTGTTCCCTCTAGTATTTGTTGATTGATTGATTGATTGATTGTTTTGGCTTTTGCATTTCATGTTAGAGTTTTTTATCTGATTCTGATCATTTTTTAAGAGTGGAGGACTAAAATGCTGATAGGAAGGTCTGCGTAGTTGAAGTGGCTTACATAATGTGAGGTGAACTGTAGAGTGAACCAGCTGGTCCATTTAGTGGGAGAACTCCTGCTATAATATCTTTAGGATTTTCCTCTGGGGTTTGTGAGATTCCCCAGGGACTCTGTCAGCCTCTTGACTGGCTAACAATGTTCTGGGAACTAGATGGGGACAACTGGGAATCTCAGCATTCCGTTTGCAACCATTCCTTTAATCCCTTGCTTTTGGTGGTACTCTCATCCTTCACTGTGCCTGAAGCTGGTTCAGACCCCATGTTTTATGTTTTCCAGAGAATAAAACTAGTCTTCTGCAGGGTAGGAGAATGGTGGTTGCTCAGTGACATGGAGAGGAAGAGGGGATTGAGGGATTTAATTGCTTCTTAATTCACTTTCAACCAATCATTTTCTCCCCGACCCTCAACTTCCACTTCCAAAGATAAATTGTGCCACCAGTTCCTGAGTCTTTTAGGATTCTTGGTATAACTCAAGTTGAGTTCTAGTTTTCCTCATGGCCAGCTTAAGATTCAAATCCCTTGAGTCTTCTAAGTCAGTTACCACTTGTCCATTTACTTTATAGCTTCTAAGATGTTGTTGCTACTGTCTTTTCTCCTGGTTATTCTTGAGGTTTTATGCCTTTTTAAACAATCTTGGACTGTAGTTTCAAGATAGAGTGAAATTAGATGCACTTGTTCAGCTCGCTCTCTTTATCAGAAGCTCCAAGTAAAAATTATTTACGTTCATGTTAAAAAATCACAATGGTATACAAAGGTATAAAATAAAGAATAAAAAGTCTCCCTCTATCACCCCCCACATACCCACTACTCAGAGGTAACTAAAGTAACGTGTACCTTTCCAGAAATTTTTTATTTATATAGAATAATGCATATAATTTAAAGAATCACAAATGAAATTTTACTGTGTAAATACGTATATGGTATATACTGGAAATTTTTACTATGTATATTTAATATATTGAAATTATGGAGTTCCATATTGATCTGTACACAAGATGTACAAATGTCTTCATTTTTTTTTAACTGTTTCATAGTATTACATTGTGTGAGTTTTTCCTAATAAGATCTTAGTTGCTGGATATTTGCTTCTTATTCATCTTTTTAGTATTACCAACAGTGCTACTATAAATACTCAGATACACATTTTTCTTCATTACTTGTTAAAGTATATTTTTAGTTAAATTCTTAAAAGTGGAATTGTTTAGTCAAAGAGTATATGTACTTTTTTATTATGAAGATATGACAAATTGCTCTTCAAAAAGATTATGCGTCTACTAATAGTATATAAAAGTGTCTTTTTTTGTACTCTCTGTGACTTAGCTGTTATCAAGCTTTTAAATCTTTGACATTCTGATCAGTGAAAAATGCTATCTTGTCGTTTTAATTTGTCGGTCCTAATTGTGTGTGAAGTTATCTTGTCGTTATTGGATATACTTTTTCTATGAGCTGCATATTCTGTTCGTTTAGCCATTATTCTTTGGCTTATTCATCTTGTCAATTTGTAAGAGCTCATTATACTTGGGAGAATTTTCCCCTTTATCTCTCATATGTCTTGCAGATATTTCCCCAGCAATGTCTTTTTATTTTTGCCATTGTTTGCTGTATTTTTTCTATATGGTCAATATATTTTAAAATGAAAAAATACTGAACAAGTATTGCTTTACTATCCCTGGCTCAAATTATTTTCTATATAACTTGAACATATTATTTTCTAAAGTATTTAAACTATTAATTTAACATTTAGAAGGTATCAGCAATACTGTTTCAATTAACTAATTTATATGATAAATTAAAATTTTCTTTTATTCTGATTCTGACTTTGAAAAGACCACTAATTAAGCATCATTTTCATGTATCTTATGCTATTTAGCTAAAAAATATTTCTGTTTTCAGTGTTCTACCCAAGAGTTCTTCTTGATTGTCAAAACCCTGTATCACCTGAAGTCGGAATTTCAAGCATTGATACCTGCTGTTAATACCCAAGTTCACTCTGACTTGCTCCGGACATTTATTTTAGAAATTCCTGAACTTCTCAGTCCGGTGGAGCGTTACTTAAAGATACTTAATGAGCAAGCTGCCAAGTAAGTAGCAGACCCTTAGTTCTTCGTTTCCAGCAGTGAAAGTAATCTAATGTGTTTGCCATTTGATGTGTGGATTCTTAAGCTTCTCTACGAGTAATGGTAGAAGTTGCATGTGAAATTAAAAATGTGATTGGATGCTATAGACTCTGTATTACAGCTGGAAGTAACACTTTGCTGTCTAAAACTTAGACAGTTCATCATCTAGGACAGATCTTATACTTTCCCAGGTGTCAGATGATGAAAAGGTAAAGTCCAGGCAGAGCAAGTAGTTGCAGTTTATTAATCCAAAAATGGGTGTCAGATGGCATCTTGTACTCATTTGCTAGATATCCAGGGATGGTCTGTCTTATATTTAGAAACTGCAGAAGCAAAGTTATCTTTAAGAGGTAGTCATTTTACAGTTCATCCCACAAAGAACTCTATATAAAAGAAAAAAAATTTTACATTTGTATTTATTTTCTGAATAGGCAAACAGCAAATTTAATTTTCTCTTGGTTTTACCACGGGAATCTTGAACTTGCAAAACAAAAATGATGTTAGAGCAATTTTGTTTGTCTTCAGAGAAATTAAGAAACCCATAAATATTTAGTGGCAGAGCTGGAATTAAAATGTTTTCCTGACTTCCCACCCTTTGGTCTTTTATTTTAGTTTGTTGTTTTGCTGAGGAAGATATGCCCTGAGCTAATATCCGTGCCAGTCTTCCTCTATTTTGTATGTGAGTTGCCGCCATAGCATGGCTGCTGACGAGTGGTGTACATCCGTGCCCAGGAACCGAACCCGGGCCGCTGAAGCGGAGTGCACCAAACTTAACCACTAGGCCATGGGGCTGGCCACGTTTGGTCTTTTATTATACCATGAAAAATAATTAATAATTGGTATAAGTAATATGCTTCAATATATGTATTTGCATTTTTTCGTTTTTTTAGAATTGGGGATAAAACTGAATTATTCAAAGACCTTTCAGACTTCCCTTTAATAAAACAGAGGAAGGATGAAATTCAAGAAGTTACTGACAAGATCCAAATACATTTGCAAGAAATACGAAAAATAATAAAAAATCCTTCTGCACAGTATGTGACAGTATCAGGACAAGAGGTAATGTCAGACATACTTTTATTTTGCATTAGTTTTCCTCAAGTAGAAAAGCTATTTTAAAATGTAAATAAAAATCTGAGGAGAGGGTGAAAGTATGATTTTTTTTCAGATTTTCTGTTTTGTTCCTTGGAGATATGTTGTAATCCTTCTTTTGATAAGAATTATTTTAATAACAGTATTTTGTTTATTTACTCTAGTGTCTTAGTGAAATCATGCAACTTAGTGTTACATGTGTTTTAATATTATCTGCTGAAATTATATTTTAGAAAACCTTGACTATTGTAAATAATAACTTACAGAATTCATTTACCCTGAGTCCAGGAGAGAGAAGCTAGTCTTTTATTCCTGGCCTGCAGATGATAAAACGATAAGAAGTGCACCGTGTACGTTGATTGGATCACACAATGATTAAATAGCAGGGCTTCCTTCTGAAGTTAGGAGTATAGCTGCTAAAAAAACAAAAAACAAAACTATAGTGAGAACCTACATTTAGTGAGTCTCCCATAAGACTGTGGTGCTGTTTAGAATGTATTTTTTGGTATGTGTACTTCTGTTTAAAGTTTGATATTGATATCTGAATGAGAATTGGGAAGAAGTATGCTTTTTAAATGTGGTTGTGCCTTTTGGTCCTATTCTGAGTCTAAGGCATGCTCCTCCTACATCTTATGTTTAATAAAATGTAGAGATTCCAACCGAGGACATTTGAGAAGTTCTACTTCATTAAAACAGCAAACTAGGAAATTTGTGAATAATTTCTATAGGATGAACATTTTATTAAGGATTTTTAAAAATAAATATTTTTCCGGGGGAAAAGCTTAATTTCAAATCAAAATTTTAAATATTTGCATTGCTTTATATATTTAGCAAAAAGATTGTTGATTTGTATGATTATTTGAAATAAACTCTCTAGTAAATTATAATCTTTATTAAAATGTTTACTAATGTGCCATTTAATAGACAACTGATTAAGTCAGCCTGTCTTCTGGACTGAAATTAGAGTGTTATACTCAGGCAGACATTTCACTATGCATCCTACGTGGAATTGTATATAACAGAAAAACGATTTGATGATATTTATACTTGTTTTTCCCCCCACCCTGAACAGGCGAATTTCAAATATTTAATTGTCTCTCTTGGTTTCACTATGTAATCATGACCTTGCAAAGTGACAAGTGACCTTTGCACCACTATGCTGGGCTATATGTTGAAAATGAGATGATCAAAACTGCTTCATCACATTCATAAAAGAAAGGTAGTAGAAAAGTGGTTGCCTGGTGCGACAGTGGGGAGAGCTGAGTGTGAGTGCCAATTCTGCCACTTACATGGTAGTGACCGTGGAAGAGTCACCTCTGTCCTTAGACTGCTGTGAAGACCCGTTGAGTTAAAATACATGAAAGTGCTTTGTAATAATAAAGCACTATGCAAAGGTTATTCATATAACAATAATAATAGTAACAGTAATTACCATTTACCAAGCACTTGTTAAAGTTCAGAATAGTGCTAAGTGCGTAACATACGTGGTTTAATCCTTGTAACAACACACAAAGGGGTTACTCCAGTTTTGCAGGAAAGAAAACTGAGGCTTAGGGTAGTCAGGTAAGTTACCCAAGTCAGAAGCCCAAGTCCAGGCCGGGTCTGCCTGATTCCAGTCTTTCTACCATGTCATTGTTTCACTCTACTCACAAATATTGCCATAAGAGATTATCAACATTGTGGATTTTATTTGATAAAGTCCAGACATTTTAGAGCTCATACTATTCAAACTAAAATAAAACTGAAGTCTTGGGGAGACAGTACTGGATTCAGTTGGCAGTTTTAAAGTAAAAATGGGGAAAACTGATCATGAATTCATAAGAGATAGTAGCTTAGTTATTCTTTATCAGTGTAGCATTGAAGTTTAAGAAAAAGCACAGTGTGGAGATCAAGTAATTGCATTAGAAATGATTAGGGAGGAAGATAAATTATCTTATTATTCTTTACTTAACCTTTACTTAGGTTAAGATGGTGAGTTTGAGGCAAGAAATTTCTTAGTTATTAACAGTAGTGTGGATTCTTGTTGGATTTTAAAAACCTCTAGAACTTTAATACTCTATCAATATAGAATCACTTTTATAACTTTTTTTGAGAATTAATAATTCTACTCATTCAAACACCAAATGAATTCTAAATATTCAGCATTGTTATGATCAAATTCTGTTTAAAAAAATTGAACTAAAGTTATCTGCAGATTATTTGGAGATACAGAAAGGGCTAAGCACAGACTGTCAAATATTACTGCTGAGAAGTGAGGGAAGAAGAGAGAAAACCCCTTATTTTATATATATGTGCTTCTTATTTTATACCTTCTGTTCTGTCTGAAATTTATTGCCATACATATAACTTTTGTAATAATTCTTTAAAAACCTGTTATAGCAGGCCCACATGGTACATGGATGTTGTTATTAGTAGTAAAAATAGATAAACAGACAGATTGTCAGGCCACTGTTACTTTTGACAACATTCATTTTTCACCCCGTTCACAATTTTTAGGTGCAGGCATACCTTGGAGATGGTGTGGGTTCAGTTCCAGACCACTGCAATAAAGCAAATATTGCAATAAAGTGAACCACACGAATTTTTTTGTTTCCCAGTGCATATAAAAGTTATGTTTACACTATACTGTAGTCTATTAAGTGTGCAATAGCATTATGTCTAAAAAACCAAAGCACATATCTTAGTTTAAAAATACTTTATTGCTAAAAAATGCTAACCATCATCTGAGCCTTCAGTGAGTCATAATCTTTTTGCTGGTGGAGGGTCTTGTAAAAAACGCAGTATCTGTGAAGCACAGTGAAGTGAAGCACAGTGAAACGAAGTATGCCTGTACTGTTAGAACACTAAGCCTTATTGACTATGGTGCATTATTGCCTCTGACTCTGAATGTATTGGTTTATAAGAAAATAATGAAAGCAGAAACTTACATAGCTTTACATAATTAGTTCACCATTTCTGTGACAGTCTCTCTTATATTTTATGAATATAGAGAATTATCTCAATCTTGAATCAACTATGGAATGGATATGGGGTGATATTTAGATTTGGGGCGGTATTGATAAGTAGTAGTATTCTTAAGGAAAAGGGAAAAATATTGGGGGAAAATCTTGAGAAAAAATTTCATTAATTCACAGCATGTATCATGTCCAAATATCTGCTTAATACTTTTAAGGTGTGGAAAGCATTCTCTGTTAAATCTTACTTCTAAATAAAAAATATTTGAAAATTCGTGTGAGAAAGAAAAGGGGGAGGGTGGGAATGGGTTAAGTGTGTTGTTGGAGAAAACAGAGAGCAGTTTCTGGAGTGAGTTAAGAATTTTAGCGAACTTAGCAGTGATGTCAGCCCAATGATACCACAGGCTATAGTTTGACTAATGACATCTGACATTTAACCAAGACAGAATTGGATCCCAAGAGATGAATATGAGGGATTGTTAGAACAAATCAAGGCAGGCTTCTCACATCAGCACCTAAGAAACAAAGTCAGGAACTATAGAGTAGGGAAAGTTCCTATGAGAACTCTAAGATTTCTGAAATATATTTTAATTTCCAATTTTAGTTAATTTCCTTTTCTTTAGCAATAAAATCCTTAAACAAAAGGCTTGTCTGCTCATTCTTAGACTGTTTGTAAAAGGAAATAGAAAATTTCCTATTCCATAGCCAGTGTAGAAGAGAGAAAAACTACTAGTTGTTGACAATTCTGAGGAGAAACACAGGCTGAAGTGAAGAGGACACACAAGACCAGCCCCTGTCCCAGGAAGTGACCCCAGGGCTTTAACAAGCAGGAGGTCCACGTGGCTTTCCTGCCTCTGTCTGTTCTCCATCCTTTGTTGGCTTGGTATCTGGCTTGCTTGAGGAGCTGTCCTTAGAGTAGACCCTTGATACTTACAGATTGTACAGTTATCTGCAACTGTGACCAGTAGCAATTCGTAGTGTGTAAAAGGCACAGATTTGAATCCAACACTGCCATGCAGCAGTGTTATGGCAAATTACTTAAGTAAACCAGCCTAGCTGGCTGCCCAGTGACCTCACTGAGCAAGTTTTTAGCTTCTTTTAAAAATTTCCACCATCCTTAAGGCAGTAACGCCTGTGGAGCTCTCTTAGTCATTATGGATCTAGATGTGTCCGTCCCAAATATTGGTGATCCACTGCGGTCCTGAATTTTGCTGTTTGCCTTTGGCGTAGTTCTTCCCAGAATTATTTTATGAAAAGATCAGTATGTCTTCTCATAAAACATTTTAAAATAGTATTTAATCAGAATTTTTTAGCTTAGTCTTAAAGTGATCTTATCTTTCCCATCAATGGTATTTATTTTGTGGGTTTTTCCTCAGTTACTTTTTGTAGCCAAAGGGGACTTTTTTATACTCTTCACTCTTAACTGTTTAACTGGATGTGGCAGATTTGAAATTGTATTAATTCCTCTCTATACAAGAGGGCATCATTAGTTCCAAAAGTTTTGTTAAGGATGAAAATTCTTAAAATTAACCATTAATTCCTATTATAATTAATGTAAAAGCTGTAGTGTTTCTAGTAATAGAAAAGTGAACTCAAGAGTCAGGCTGAGGGGCCGGCCCCGTGGCTTACTGGTTAAGTGTGCACGCTACGCTACTGGCGGCCCGGTTCGGATCCCGGGTGCGCACCGACACACCTCTTGTTCTGCCATGCTGAGGCGGCGTCCCACATACAGCAATTAGAAGGATTTGCAACTATGACATACAACTATCTACTAGGGTTTTGGGGAGAAAAAGGGAAAAAAAAAAGAGGCTGATACTGTTAATAATATACATTTTATAAAATAAATACCTGAAATGTTATAAAACTGATATATGTAAAAAAGTTCCTGTAGCCATCTCAAATTAATGGCAGCCACAGAGCTTCTGGGTTCCATCCTGTACAAAATAAGTTTATTTGTTTGTTTGTTTACTTAAATAAAACGTTGACTTTCATTACACTACTACAAGAAAGTGAGCAGGGAGAAGAGATGATATATAACTAATGCTGGAAATGACAGGTGTGATAAAAGAAGTTGATTTCACATGCTTCCTGGCTGATTTCAGAAAAGCTTGCTTGCAGAGTACAGTTGGATCTATAAAGATATGGTTCATGTATGTGATTACTTAAAGAAAACACTCATGGGAAGAAATATCTTCCTTCCTTAATAGTTGAGGAAGTCAGTGCTTTTTTATGAGGATACTTTTAGAGGACTTAGGTCCCCTGGATAAAAACTATTACAATAAATCTTCTTCTGTTCAGAATAGGGCGTGGGACTGTATCTCAACTGGTATAACATCTAATAATCGAATATTTTAAAATTTTATGTACTTACAAATTCAATCTTATTGCGGAGTAATAGAATTCTTAAGTGGGTACTGATAAATGGAAGAGGTCATTAAAGAAAAATCCTATTGTAGTATGCACATAACAATGTTATAAACATTAAAGCACGAAGTTATATCCTTTATTACAAACTTTTTGCTCAATACAAATTGTACTTTATCCCAAGTATTAAAACCCTAATTAATATTATTTGATTGTACAGACATATATAAACTCTCCCAATAACAATACTGGATTTATTTGGAATGTTTAGAATAATATTTACTAAACTTATTTAGCACAATTTTGAGGAAGCTTTAAAACTATAATGGTTAATTATTTAAATATCTAACTTTTATTTATATTTATTTTAGTTTCTGATTGAAATAAAGAATTCTGCTATATCTTGTATACCAACTGATTGGGTTAAGGTTGGAAGGTAGGTTTAAAAATACATTTTTTTCCTTATTAATGTGAATTATAATGACATCTGTATACCTGTATGCTACTGGACTGATAATAACCATGTCTCTGACATTAAAAGCAGTCTTCCCCTTTGGTTTTCCTATGGTACTTTTAACCAAAGAAATAATGATTTTAAACTCTCTTCATCATTGATTTTAAAACATTTTTTCCAGAGAGTATCTTATTTGCATATATTTGTTTTCTTGTTTTGTAAGTTACTGTTTTATTCTTATACCTCAGAGTACACTTTAAACACATGAAAAAAAGAAAGTTGAGGAACCTTCCATTATAAGATTAATTTGGTTGCTTGAACTTCTTGATGAATGCCATACCTGACATTTCTTTTAAGAGCCTGCAATTTCATTTTCTACCTCACCGAGCTCCTCATTTCTTTATTCTTAATGCTTTCCATGGCACATAGTTATAATAGTTCTTTACATCTTCTTTTTTGTAAGTTATATCATGAATTGATGAAAATAAATTAATCAAAGACAAAATTAGAGAACCACGTTGAGACTCTGCCTTTTCTCCTTTGGTTAGGCGTTAATCCCCAAGAGGGGACTCGTTGAAAGAAGTAGTATTAAAGATGAGTATACTCCTGTGAGTAGTGTCCTTTGTGGAATATTTATTGCTACTGTTATTAGTATGTTTGCATGAACTTGAGATGAAAATGTTCCATTTGCCTAAGAGAGTGGAAGAGGGATGGTGTGTAGCTGGTGATGGTATGAAGGAACTCTATGTTAAGGATGGAAGAAAATTTTGACATGATATTAATTAATTTATTATTATTAACTTATATATAATTGTAATTATAATACTTATAATTAATTTATTATTCAAGAAAACTTTAGTATCTATTGCCACTATCAAAGGGTCCTGAAGGCACAGTCGTGGGTTTCTTGAGCTCTAATACCATCCTTTTTCTTTCTATGTTACCAGCAACTGTACTTGAGATTTGAGTATTGTTGATTATAGGGGATGTTTTCTCTCTTTGCAAGCATTCTTTCTTTTATCTACTTTTGTCCTATACTACAGCTAATGAATGGAAATGTGCTTTATGAAGAGAAATTACTAAAAATCGTGTTAGTCTATTTGGAACATTAACTGAAATGTCTCACTAAATGTTTTGTCAGAAGAGAAAGCTATGATAAATATGTTTGCACAGAAATCCAGAAGACATACCTTAAAAACAACAAGCAGGCTTGAATCACTGCCAGCATCTTTTGAACATTCAGTGATGTAAATTGAATGAATAAATAAGATGATTTAGGGAAGGTTCATTGCTATTTTTTATCTATTGTTTGGCCATCGGAGCCTTGACAGGGATAGGTTAGAATATCATTAGTCAGAATTCAAGTGTGAAAGGCTCACCCCTAGTCCAGTAATTTGCCAAGTTAAAGTTAATTGTAACAGTGTATTACAGGAGTTGGGGAGCAAACAAAGATCAGAGTACACTCTGTCGTCACCTGGCCATCACTCAGCCCTGACCTTTTCTTCTTAAAGGTCCCTTCATAGTAATAAATCAACAGCAGTAACAACCACCACCACCACCACCACCACAGGACAACTCCTCACATTGAGTACCAATGAGATAGGTACTCTGCTAAGCACTATCTGTTTGATTCTCTCAACAGTACCTATGAGGTAGATAACTATTCTTATCCCCGTTTTATATTTGAGGAAAGTGATATTTAGAGATGGTCAGTTGTATTTGCCCAAAGTCACACAGCTAGCAAGTAAATGGCATAGTTGGAGCCTTGGTCTGGATTTTCTGGCTGGGGACCCATGACATCCCCCACTGTGCCCTACAGCTTCTTGATGAAGAAGCAGAGATTATACACAAGCCCAGAAGAGGAGCATGTGGCAGTTCTTCCCATCCAGGGCCGCTGTGAATCTACAGTTAGATCATGAAGAGCTCCTCTTCTTTGCCTCCTGAATAAATGCATTGCTGTTCTTTGTAATGCTTTATGTTTTTCTTTTTTTACTGAAATACTTCAGTCATACAGAAAACTATAAAATAAGGAATAATATGGCCCTCACCAATGTACCCACCTCCCAGCTTTGTCAGGACTTATTTTACCATATTTGCTTCTGATCTTTTTTTAAAAGCAAGCATTTTCATTTAGTATAATTTAAAGACAGAAACTTTCTGCTTATGAAATAGAAATTCTAAACTTTGACTTTGCCGTGTGGATGTAGTTTGAAGTGCATTTTAAAAGCTTTCTGAACAAAGTCCTATGAACTCTAGTACTTTATTTACAACAAGATCTTTGGAATCAATAGAGTTCAGGACCATAATTAAAGAATGTTCTCTGTTTATAGCTATTTACTGTCAAGGTTCATCAGAGAATAATAAATAACTGCTTTAATTTTCTGAAGTGATGGCATTACTGATTTCTTAGTAACCTTGATTTCCTATTTCTGTTTTTCCCCTCTTCTAGCACAAAAGCTGTGAGCCGCTTTCATTCTCCTTTTGTTGTAGAAAATTACCCGCATCTGAATCAGCTCCGGGAGCAGCTGGTCCTTGACTGCAGTGCGGAATGGCTTGAGTTTCTAGAGTGAGTTTACAATGAAAAATATAATCTGACTTTTTGCTGTGAGAAATAGACCGGAAAATCTTTCCATCAAAAAGAAAAGTAGAGATTACTGCTTGTGACCTGCCATAAAATAGTTGAGTACGTGTGTTCTCTGATTTTATTTTTTATCCCTTGAAATGTAAGCTCATCTTAGTCTTTGGTGAGAGACCAAATATACTTTATTGTTACTGTACTGACATTTGTTGCTAAGGATGTTTAGTAGAGTCACTTTTTGAAATTCCACCTTGGACTTTGTTTACTTTTCTTGTATGAAGGCTTAACATTTTCAGAGTCGGAAAAGTATGGGTTAGTTGTTTTGTTTTTATTATCTCCATTTAATTTTTTTTCTTATTTTTTTTACTCCCTGTTTATTTTCCCCCTAACTTTTTATTTTGAAAAATTTTAAATCTATGGGAAAGTTGAAACGAACAGCTATATACCCTTCACCTAGATTTATCAAGTGTTAACATTTTGCCACATTTGCTTTATATCTCTCTCATATACTTTTTTTCCTGAACCATTTGAAAGTAAATTTTAGACATTATAACACTTCACCCCCTAAATACTTAAGCATATCTCTTTTAAAAATAAGAACATTTTGCTATATAATCTTAACAGTGTTAATCACACTAAGAAAAAGTAATATTAATTTAAGAAATGTTTCCTCAGTTTCCCCCACCTCAAATTTTTAAATGAAAGATCTAATCAACTTTCACACGTTGCCTTTGGTTATTATGTTTCTTTAGTCTATTTGAATCTAGAATAGTCCCCCACCTTTTTTGTTTTTTATAATATGAGATTTTTTTTGAAGAGTCCTTGCTTTCATCTCAAAGAATGTCTCATGTTCTTGAATTATTAATAGCCATGTATTCATATTGACAGATTTAAGACAGTGGTGTGCTGGTTAATGGTTAACAGCCAGATCTCTGGAAGAGTAGTAGTGTTTGTGGTGTTTGCTGATTGCTGTAGCGTAAATTCTGCCCCCATGACTGATTTCAAGCTACCGCTGGACTGGAGTTGGGAAGAGATGTGCATAGCTGACTTTCATGAGTCCATGGGAGCCAGCTCTGGACCACCATTTGTCTAAGGACTTTATATATATTAGCTCATTATTCCTCACAAGAGCGCTATGAGTGAAATATTATTATCATCCCCAATTCACAGATGAATAAAGTGAGATACAGGAATAAGAAGTTGCCCACAGTAAGGGTCAGGACTGGAGCCCAGATTCAACCCAGGGTATCTGCTGGTGAGGTGTGTGCCCCTTACCATCAGGCTGTAGAGCCTTCCCGTGATGAATCCATAGGCATCGTTCTAACAGAAATCTCTCTGTTAGTCTTTCTCTTTAAAAACTTAAACAGCAGATGTTCAGTGAGGTCTTTCGGGTAGCTTTATTCCAGAGTAACCAATCTGACAAGTGAAATAAAAGAACAAAGAAGATACTGTGTGACAATTTTTAAAAGATAGTAAGTTGGTACCATCTCCTTTTGCCCAGGGGAAGCTTGAATTATAGGATCGGAAAGAGATTCTAATTTACTTAATCCTGAATCTTTTGAGGTTATCTTGACTCAGAGTCTTGAATCCAGCGATGGAAACTTGGTCTATTCAGTTTCTTTTGCAGTGGACTTTCAATTTCTCATTTTAAGGGTTTTCAGAGCCCTGGAGTCTCTCAGTTCTCCTGGCTTTTCCCTTAGTAGTATCACTGAGAGCATGAAAATAGGCCTAAAGTTACTCCTTTCACACTTCAGGGGCCATGTTCGAGGGTCCTGGGGTTTGGTGGGTAATTCATATTTATTCTATTCATGGTATACATGATTTTGTAGGTCTGGGTTATATTTTCCCTGTCGTTATTCTAGGTTAAAGAAAGTTCAGGTCTCCTGGGCTAAAAACTGGCATTATCCTTGATTCTTTCTTTGTTTTTGTCCCTTTATCTGTTATCAGATTCCTGTTTGTCTTTTTCCCTTTGAGATGTCTCTTTGATTTGCCTCTTCTTCTCCTGTTCTCTTCTAGCACCCCACTGTCACCTCAAAGCATTCTTACTGTATCAGCCCTCTGCCAGGCCTTCTACCAAATTAACCCAGGAGAATTCTGCTTTCATCATAACAGCCCCTTTCCTATAGTTAAGAGTTGCTAAGAGTGAGAGAACATTAAATACAATATCACAGAAGAATCTGTTGCTCATGATACACTAATAAGCGAAGAAAAGGATGCAAAATAGTATTCGTGTGAATCAATTCTGTATGTATAAATGCACATACATACACAGCATACAAATCTTTATATTTTTAAAGATTCAGTATATATATGCTTACTGTTATATTATTAATATGCTTATTGGCCATTTGTATATCTTCTTTGGAGAAAAGTCTACTCGTATATATATAATCTCTAATGTTAACTGATTAGTTCTGGATGGTGAGCTTACTGGAGGTTTTAATTTACTTTGCAAATACATGATTTCAAAAGTTTCTATAATGTACACATTACTTTCAGAATAAAAATGTATTAAAATTTTTATGTAAAAAAAGACTATTGGCTGAAATTTAGCTAGAGCATTTGCAACTAGAGCCCCCACTTGAGAACAGCATTGATTGTTATGCACACCATTTATTGAGGTGCCAGATGGTGTGAATATGATGTCATTTAAAAAATTAACCTCTGTTATGCACACCATTTACTGAGGTGCCAGATGGTGTGAATATGATGTCATTTAAAAAATTAACCTCAATGAACCTGACATCAGGATTGAATACCAGCTATACAAGTGGATTTGTCTCTTACGGAGATACTAACTGTTGTGCATTAGTCATGATACTTTTGATCCCAGTATTGCAAGAAGTCAAGACTGTAAGAAACTGAATGGAACCCTCTCTCAAAAAACATGTCTCTTCTTTTGTGTTTGGGCTGTGAGTATTGAATAATCTTTTCAATTGCAAATTTAAAAAAAAAAAATGAATTCTCTCTCATACAGTAGTTCAAATATTTTAGAAATGCATTTGCTAATAAAAAATAAAATATTTTGCATTTTTATTAGCTTCACACATCATTGAGTAACATCTGGTGGTAAACTTCTCTGGCTGTCATAACAGCTTTAGAACCCAGGTGTCTTAATCTGCTTCCCATGGACCCAGCAATATCTTTTGGCCAGAGATTGCATCATAGTGCTTTGGCCATCCTTAAGTTGGTTGGTAGCTTAGTGACAAATTTGCATGTTGTTATGATATAAACTGTGTCTGTCAGGTTATTACCTGAATTGCCCATTTTCAGCTCATCATTTTTCAAAGTATGGATAATCTCTTGGCAAAGTATAGCAAATGGACAAAGACTAAGAAGTCAAGCAAGGCTTTGTAAGCATGATGATGATGATGTTTAAGGCTTATGATAGTTTTTCATTTTATTCACTTGTCTATAATTGACATGAGAAAGAACATGTTGTCCATATCAAAGTAATTATCTTATGCTTTCCTATCTTTTTTTTTTTTTTTTAAACTGAAATGGTACCCACTGAGAGCTATGTCACTCATTTCAATTCCGGAAACTGGAAGATCATCAGGGACAGTTACCCTCAACCCAAGGCTGCTGGATAGCAGCAAATTAGGGTCTTGGTGGCCTGGACAGTACCTGAGAAGGAAGGAGTGAGAGTAAGAAAAAACGGACTTTTTTTTTTAGTGGCAAAGGTACTTGATACTCATATCCAGAGAGGCAAGAGCAGAAACATCAAATGTGGCTGCTCTGTGGTGAAAGAGAGTACGAGGATAGGAAGACCGGGTGGGTCATTAATTAGAACAAGGACAGAATAGGCCACAGTCCAAGGGGTAAATGAGTGGTCAGATCTCAGATTGAAGCCAGACCAGGAATGACAAGGCGTGACACTGGGCAACCACTCCGGAGTGTTAGGTGCATGCAGCATGTGGCATCTTCAGAACTAAGAGGCATTTTTAAGGTGGCAGTTGAGTGCTGCCTCTCTGATGCCAGGGGCCAATCTCCTTTGTGTTTGGGGTTTTGCACAGACTCTTAACGCTGTTAACGGGGGTTCACATTGTTTGTTTTGGCGAATTTTAATTCAGTGAGAAATAGATAAATCATCTTCATTGTGCTCTGTCTACTCAAGTAAAAAATATACTGTATAAAGTATAAGTAAAAAATATAATATATTTTTAATATATTAATATTAGACATCTTTGTATAGAAGCTGTTTTAAATATATATAATTCTCTCCAAATGAAACAAAAGGAAGCCTCAATAATCAAGTTATTATTATTAAACAGAAAAGTAGTTGAATGTAATTTCTATCTCTCTTAACTACTAGACATGCATGGTTATTTTGTTTATGCTCTTCTTAGCTAATAAAGTGATTACTTACTGTACAGCTTTTATAGGTCTAAAAAATCAATTTGCTCACCTTTTGGTTGGTGTTGCTTCTGTAGGAATTTCAGTGAACATTATCACTCCTTGTGTAAAGCAGTACATCACCTAGCAACTGTTGACTGCATTTTCTCCCTGGCCAAGGTCGCTAAGCAAGGAGACTACTGCAGGTAATAATATTTTGTTTTATTCCCCTCCCTTTTCAGTGCTTTAGATCAGATGGCAATATTCAATTAATTTTATTGTTTTTATTATAAAATATTAAAATTCCTCAAATATATTGGATTCTTGGTAAAGTTGAATTTCATACACATATGGCTTGATTTAAAATTAACAAATTCCGTTCTTGCTTGCCGTATCACTGAGTACAATGAAAGCAGATGTTCACTATAACTCTAGAAGTAAATGTTATATATTTCAATTTTTAAGTTTATGTGAGTGACATTTTTATAAAGGAGCAGTTCTTTCATTTGTTAGCTTTAACTTGAACACTTTATAATATGTTTAACTTTGTAATTATAAAAGTCTCATATAAATATCATTTAAATCAGATGTGAGTGAGACTCAAGGTATGATTCATTCTGAAACAAGTTACTCTCTGTTGCTCTCAAATTACTCTTCCTAATAAATCTAAAACCTTAAGCTTGAGCCAGATCTTCGGCTCAATACTTTGCCCTCAAGACCCACTGGGGTGAGGGTTCTGCCTTCTAGACCCTTCTGGGGTCTGGGGTTGGGGGTGGGGGGAATGCGAGGGATCCTGCTTTCCAGACCCACTGGGGCTGCAGTCCTTTTCCCTTAGCTTTGCTGGGTAAGTATTGGGCCCCCAGGGCTCCAGGCCACCCTGGCCTCATGGTGGCTCTGCTTGGGCCCTGCCTCTGTGGTGGTTCTCTGTTGCCGCACTTCCCCTGGTGCTGTGTGCCTGGGCTTGCTCCTGGAACTCCCCCAGGCTGCAATTGCATGCTAGTGGCCTTCTGTGGCTCCAGTGGGCATTACCCTATTGAGGCTCTCTGGGGTCTCTTGTAAGAGCACTAGCCCATTCGTGAGGTCTCTGCCGTTATGACGTAATCACCTCCCAAAGGCCCCCACCTCCTAATACCATCACCTTAGGTATTAAGTTTCAACATATGAATTTTGGAGGGGACACAAGTATTAAGTCTGTAACACAAAGCCTCAGTTTTTTCAGATGTGTAAGAAAAATTAAGAGAATATTTAACTCACTGGCTTGTTGTGAGGACTAAAAAGAAAACATGGAAGAGATATTGCCCATCAGTGCTTGTGGCACACAGAGTTCATTAGTAGATATGTTGTGCTTCATACTGCCTTCATAACTTGGTTTCCTCTCTGGTTTGTGTCAAATACCTTTTTTTAAATTTCAGTGGCTTCTAGGGCCGGCCCTGTGGCTTGGTGGTTAAGTGTGCGCGCTGCGATGCTGGCGGCCCGGGTTCGGATCCCGGGTGCGCATCGAGGCACCACTTCTCTGTCCATCCTGAGGCCGAGTCCCACATACAGCAACTAGAAGGGTGTGCAGCTGTGACATACAACTATCTACTGGGGCTTTGGGGGCAAAAAATAAATAAAAAATCTTTAAAAAAAAAAAAAAATTTCAGTGGCTTCTATACCTAGCATAGTGGTTGTTAAAAAATAGTTTGTTTAATGTAAAGCATTTATTTATTTGTAGGAGGAGAGTTGGAGGAATGACTACACCAGTTATGGACCCAAAATGTACACAGTTTGCTGTTTTGTTTCCTTTTGTCTTGCTGTCTGTTTAGGTGTGGAGTGTATCTACAGTGTCGGGCACAACAGTTTTGCTTAAAAGGTTTTTTGCTTTTTCATTGTTGCCCAATTTTTTTGTCACATTGAAGGGATTGAAACATACAGATTTGCCTAGTCAGTTATCTGTAGGCATTTTAGAGCTGAAACTTTACAGTGTAGTAAGTGGGGAAAAATTATATCCTATTTACCATCCATAAAAAATGAGATATGTCAGTTTACTCCAGTTGAATCTAGTTCCAAAAGAATAAGAGTCTACCTGCAGTTGGCTTGATTTCTTCCTTGTGTATTGCAATCTTAGTAGGAGTTCTTTCTCGGTACACAAGGCATGTGAAGTAAACTTTTCCTAGTGGATTCTGTGTCTGAATTCAGCAGAGAATTGGCTACAGCCTCGTCACTTAGTGTGTGTTCAGATAAAGTTCTTCCCATTGAAAAATGCTTAGCCTGGTTTATCCCTTCTTATGCTTCTTCAAGTGGCCTTTTGCCATTTGTTGCTGCTGTAGCTAGTGAAAAAAGAAAGGTAGTATATGGTATGTGGTTTGCTCCATTACAACGAATTGGTATGTGGATTGCTCCATTACACCAGATTGAAATTTTCATATCTATATGTGTGTGTATATATATCTATATGTACACCTAAACATACATATATATGACACATAATATGTAGTTTAAAATAATGTATAATTTTCAGTGTATTGTGATAACCAGAATCTAGCTTTGATGTCAGAGGCCTGGTTCTAGCCCACCCTCTGTCACTAACTAGCCATGCACTGTACTCTTATTTAAATCTCAGGCATCCATATATAAAATTGTAAAAAGTAAAGTTATGAATTAGTAAATGGGATAAATCTTAAAGTTGTAGGAATTCTTTATTGAGATGTAGTTTTGGCAGAAACTGAGGAGTAAAAATATCTCTCTTATTACATCACTAAAACTATATGATTAATTCCTAGACTCATCAGAGATTTAACGAACATTTTTAGAGTATCTATTATATGCAAGTTTGGTGCCAAATTTTTCAGTTTGGCACTTCTCCTTGTTCTTTTGGCATCTTCCAGTATATATCAAGAGATTCCTTGATTTGTGTAAGTAAAATTTAAATCTCTCTTTTAGGCACATCCTTCAGAGTGTAGACTTTGGATCAGACAGGCATGGGTTTGAATACTAGCTTAGTTATTTAACAGCTGACCTTAAGCATGTTACTTAACCTCTCTGATCCTCAGTTTCTGCATTGGCAAAATAACACCTACTTCTCGGAGATGTTGTGCAGATGAAATGAAATAAAGATATATGTGAAACTTCTAAGCAGGACCAGGCAGGTAATAAACACGTAGTAAATAGCAATTATTACTCATAGATGTTTACTCAAAAATCAGAAAGAATTAAGTATTATAAAAATTCTTTGTCTTTAATAAAAAATATCTCAACTTAAAGGTTGTTAGAATCTTTCATACCTATAATAGTTTGTTTTTTAAAAATCATTTTTAGTTCTCTGTCATTTCTCAACCTTGTCTGTCTCTTTGAACACAGTAAGCATAGTTATCTTCAAGTCTGTATCTGATAATTCAAATATCTGGAGTCCTTGTGGGTCTGTTTCTGTTGTCTGTTGTCTCTTGTCTCTGCTTGTTTTCATTAATGTCTCTCCCTGAATGCTTGGTTATTTTAATTATCTTCTGTATATTTTGCATTGTATTTGAAAAATCATTTGTAGAAATAATTTGATATTTATTCCTTCTGGAAGAGTCATGTTTGCTTCTACCAGGCATCTTAAGATACTAATAACAATCTGGCATCACTTGATTTGTATCAGGGCTTGAGATGATTCCGAGATTCAAAGGCTGCACTTCTTACTTCAGATGCACTCGTATGCCTGGTGTGCAGCCTCTTGGTGTCTCAGTCCAGAGCAGAGCTGTCCGTAGTGCTCAGCCTCAGCTGTTCCCTTCCCTCAGAGATCAGCAACCACCCTCCCTGGGCCTCTGTCCTACCCCAGCTCCTGGCCTGGTAATCCTTGCTGTCTTGTTAGTTATCAGGTGTCTTTGAGTAGCTGTTTATACTTTATCCAACTTTTTATTTGTCCTCAGTAGAGATTGTTCCAAACCATCTATTCTGTCAGTAAGACAATTTCAGGAAATATTTGACATGCTAAATTACTTTATTGGATACTATATATTTTATATCAAGAAAAATCCACCTGAAAAAATTTAAAGGAAAAATTATGCCATAACCTTTAAGTAATGTAATCAGTTTCTTTTAGCAACCATAAAATTGAGTGTAAATAGCCATGAAATAGGAAACTTTTATCCAAAATGCATTTTAAGCTAGTATTTAAGTATCTGAAATTTACACTATTTTTCCTTAGGTCTCCAAGCTTATTAGTGCATTTGAGCTATTGCAGTTAGTTCAAATTGATTATTTGGCTTCATAATTGCAATCTTTTCTTTCTACATGCTATTAGGACATTTTATTCACTATAGTCTAAAACTTTAGGCAAAAAATTTTATGCTAGGTCTTTCTATCCAATTTGTATTCTGGATATTAAATTGTTTTACTAACGTAGATTATGTTCTTTATCTCTGGGGCATTTAAAGGAGAAAGATGCAATTTTAAAAATATAAAATAAATCAGATTATTCAAGTTCAGTGTTTCGTTCTTTCTAGGTAACATCCAGATTTCCTCAGTTCTTTCTCCTTCAATGCCATAAGATACCATCAACGTGATTTTCATATCCTTCTTGCTGTGACTATCCTATCCTAGTATATCGTCTCAGCTCTGTGAATTATCATTTGCTTCTTACTGTGTCAGGAAGTGTTTTGTCATTATATAATTTGATAGCAACAGAATAAGTCAGTGTAGATTTTAGAGCAGAACAAATCACTCAAAATTTTATTCTAAAGTGAAAACCTTCCTGGGAAATCGTATCAATGTCATGAGTATGATTTATTGATTTCACTGGGCAGAGCACCTAGGATTTTATTTTAAAACTGATATCACTTACAGATGGTTTCATTTTTTTTCTTTTACAGTAAATTTATAACCCATCCAGATAAAAGTCCTATCTTTAGAATTATACTCTAAAATCCAAGAACTGTCCTTTTCCTGTAATTTTAAATATTTCTTCCCAAAGAATGATTTCAAATTGTTTACTCAGAAGATTCTTCAGTCGCTTTCTTTGAGAAATGAGAGTGTACATTCTTGGGTTTTGTTAGCCATGTATTTTTAAGAAGAAGAATTTAAGTATTTAGGAAGGTAGTATTTCTTGGTGTTATGAGTAAGTTTAGAAATGTGCTTATATGTGAAAGTTCTGAGTCAAAGAATTTGTTGGGGTCATTGATAGGATATTATGATGAAAAAGACCACAAATGGCCAAGAAATTGATGAAAAGATGTTCACCCTTAATAATCAATGAGTGCAATTAAAACAATGAGATAACACTGTTCACTCACCACATTGTTAAAAATTAGAAAGTTTGATAATACCAACTTCAGGTGAGGGTAGGAAAAAACAAGTCAGCCTTCGTATCCTGCTGGTGGGAAGATAAATTGATATAGCTACTCTTACTTTGTTAAAAAATATGTATACCCTATGACTTAGAAGTTTCACTTCAAGAATTTCCTCTAGCTTAGAGAAACACTTGGACATATGCACATGGGCACATGTATAGGATTGTTCATTGCAGCATTGTTTATAATAGTGAAAATCTAGACAGTCTAAATGTTCAACAACAGAGAACAGCTCACTCGTGTGTGCAGCAGCTTCCAAAGAATGATGAAGAGCTGACAAGAAGTGATCCTTAATCTTCTGTATACCATACCATCAGGGTCCGTTGGACCTAATTTCAGTTTTCAGTTTCTTAAAAGTCTTCCAAAAAACAAAGAGAAAATTTACTTTTCTTTTTTTTTAAGAAGACTAAAACTCCTTCTGTCTTGCATTTACCATATGGGTCCATTGGACCCTTTTATAAATCTGTGATGCGTTTTAGGATCTTTAATAATTTTATCTTTCATATGTCTGAAACATTTTACTATTTCATCATCCTAGGAATTATTTCATCATTGTTTATCAGTTATTCCCACTATGCTATGAAAGTCTAAAGTAAAAAGAAAACTGGAGAATGATAATGCAAAAGTGAGGTAGAAATCACTGTCACATCATTCTTCAGTTTTCTCATTGTATTGCCCGAAGTGTTACATCATCTTTCAAGTAGGTATAAAAAAAGACTGGAGATGCCACTGTTGTCTGCTTTTGACTTTCAGTGAACATGGTTAAGAATTCAGAATTTTTCATTTTTCACCATAATAGCAAAGAGAAAAAACTTGACAGAAGACATTTCACAGTTATTAGATTAATCAAAAGATGAATATGTGGAGAAAGATAGCAGTGCCCTAGATAGTAATGATGATGGTGGAATTTCTTGTGAAAACAAAATCTCAGATTATGAGTGTTCAGATAACAATATCCTAGCTGAATTTTATGAAACTCAAGAATCACTGTGTGAATAGTTTATTTGTAAAGGCAAAATGAAATGTAGTATTACAGTTAGCTATTCCATAGGAAGCATACATCATGCAGTATTTGGTGGCAAGAATCTGGACCATCCTATTTTGTAAAAGGACATGTGGCAGTATTGTTTTATCTCGTATGATGTTTGTGCACTAAAATTTATTTGATACTGTTTGTGGGTAGACAGTTGCTGAAGGCAGAAGATTGAAAGAAAATAGATGATATGAAATAAAAATATTCATTTGATTATTCTAATTGTATTTATAAATATAAAAATGAAAATGTTTTGCAGTTATGAAGCAAAGAAGATGGCTGTCTTCTCATCAACAAAATTATGAGCTTTAAAAGATTTCAAAGAATTCTTCAAATATTGCATTTTTGTCAGTGAAAGTAGGAGAAGAACTAGAAATAATGATAAGCTAGAACCTGTAAGAAATGTATTGAAATCTAGAATTAGTGTTTATTGATGAGTATGGTCCAGGTGCGTGCATGACAGCTGATGAACAGTTAATTACATTCTGAGTGTGTTGGCCATTTCAGGTATATATGCCTTCAAAAGCAGGAAAATATGGAGTAAAAATGTGAGATTTGCTCTGTTTAAATTCTTACTAACGTTTGTCATGAGGTTTTTTTTACTACCTCTTTATTCTTAACTTCTGCAACTTATTTGTAAAATGACTTAGAAATATTAAAAAAAAAAATGAGTCCATTGGACCCATATGGTAAGTGGTGAAATCTATTTTTTATGTGCACTGAGGGTTAAGGAAAAAAGAAAAGTAATTGTGGAATGATATATTACAATATGATTCTGTTTTTTTAAGAAATCACAAACCAATATGATGGGTATATATAAACCTAACTGCATAGAAGGAGGTTGAGAAGGGCAGACACCAAACTGGTCTCAGTGGTGACCTCTGGGGAGGAGACTGAGAGTAGGACAGTGCTCATGGGAGCTTTCATAAATAGAGAAAGCTAGAGATAAAAACAGAAATAGGAAAGCTTGCAAAACAAGACCAGCAAGGCAAAAAAAATTTTTATATCAAAAAAAGTGAAAGATACTAAAGCCCATAGATTTTTTTTCTTTCTTTCTTTTTTTTTTTTTGTGAGGAAGATTAGCCCTGACCTAATATCCATGCCCATCTTCCTCTATTTTATATGTGGGACGCCTGCCACAGCATGGCTTGACGAGCGGTGCGTAGGTCTACGCCCGGGATCCGAACCCATGAACCCTGGGCTGCTGAAGCGGAGCGTGCAAACCCAACCACTACACCACTGGACTGGCCCCCGAAAGATGTTTTAATTGAACAGAATATGAAAATTTTAGGTCTTTCTATCCCTAAGTCCAACACCTAATGTATATTAATGTAATAATTAAATCTATAAATAATTTTACATGATTTCCTTTATTATGCTTGTTACTGAAAATGGTTTAAGTAGCAATAGACTGAATTGTAATTTTTATTAATGAAAATATCTTAGAGAATAGTAGAAAACTAAAAAAAAAAAAAAGGGTCTTGTAAAGGCAGGTCTCCATAGTGGAGCCATCATAATACTCTGCTGAAGTTTGTGCTTCAGAGCACTGTCATTATAATAACTGTCTTCCCAATTCTTATTTTATAGTTAAATTTAGCTTTTATACTCAGAGTCTTATTCTCAACATATGTTCTTCAAGTCCATGTTTAAAGTTTTGTTGTCTCACAGACTGGCCAAAATTTTTCATGCTATCTTAGAGATTTTTTTATAAAGGCTGTTTCCATGCCTAGTAAATTGAAACATACTTCTTTTTGCAGACCAACTCTACAAGAAGAAAGGAAAATCGTAATAAAAAGTGGCCGGCACCCTGTGATTGACGTGTTGCTGGGAGAACAGGATCAGTATGTTCCCAATAGTACAAATTTATCAGTAAGTACCACGTTATCCCCCCAAATAAGAAAGAGATGATGACATTGATCCCAAATTTTTAAATAATAAGCAATGTTTTTAAAATTTACCTGAATTTTAACTTTGGCTTTAAATGGACTAATCCTTGGCTATGGTTTTATACTCACCACCAAATATGGAATTGGTTCTATTTCTAATGAGAGATTATCCATAGAGGGGAAGATTTAGCAGCTAAAGGATTAGTTTTAATTAATTATTCTAGGTAACCCACTAAAAATATTTTGTATTTATAAATGCCAACAAAGGCTAGTACTGTGATTTTGCAAATTCTTGTTAGGGTATAGTGTTACATGCTTTGTCTTGTGTTCCACTATTTTCAAATATTCTGTGAAAGAATGAGAGATACTTCAGCTGATTTCAGGTGAGAATTTTTGTTACATGGGCTAAAGTTCTCTTACAGAACATTAATGATCTTAAATATTTATTCATTTAACATATACTTATTGAGTGCCTATTTAGCCCTAGGTAGTGAAGTGCGCATTAGGACAGAGAGTGGTAAGCAAGACAGCGGTGTTCCTGCCCTCCGAGAGCTTGTGGTCTAGCAGAGAAGATAGGTTATTACAATATAGCTTGGTAAGTGCCATGATATAGGAAGCAAAGATGTCCCAGGAGCATGGAGCATGTCAACCTAACCCAGTGTAGAGGGAGCACTGGGGAGATTTCCCAGGGATGAGATGGTGACTGAAGAGTGAGTCAGCACGGGCTAGGGAAATGGAGAGGAGTGTTCAGGTTGAGGAACCAGCATGTCAGAGGCTGGAAGTGAGGCAGAGCAGGGTGAATTCAGGGAACAGAAGATGCTGAGTAAGGTTGGAGCGTAGAGTGTAAAGAAAAAAGTGTTCAGAAATAAGGAAGAGGCCAGTTTGCTTATATGCCATATTAAGGAATTTACATTTTTTTCCCTAAAGGATTGAGAATACAGCAAGAGAGTGATTGAATCTGGGGAAAAAAGTGAACTTGTGAGAGGGGAGGGTGTGTGTGTGTATGTGTTACATAGAGCTGCATTGTCAAAGATAAGCCATATACCAATTAAAGGGGTAAGGGTAGTTTTATTTGGTAATATTATTGCAATAGGGTAAAGAGTCCAGTGTGAACTGAACTCAGCTTCAATTTGTGCTGAGTGCCTAGGCGTTTTAAAGGGAGAAGGCGGGGAGTAGGAAGGAGGAACAGGAGTGAGAAAGCGTTTTGAGCAGATTCAGGGAAGTGGAAATTTATAAAAAGCGGGAAAAGGGATTGGTTACTGTGAAACTCACCTGGGTTTACTAACTGGCACCTGGCGTTTATACCCACCCACAGGGACTGGGAAGGAAAGGGGGAGTTAGCTCCTTGAATGTTTGCAAGTCCTTGAGAACACAGTTCTGGGTGGTAAGATTTACATCTCAAAGTGGCAGAAATAGGATTTATAATTTCAAGCTCTCTGAAGTAACTGCTCTAAGAGGAGATTCAGGGGCCATCACCAGGTTTTGAATGGAACAAACAGTAAATTGTCCTGGCAGCATTGTGCTTTCTCAGGCAGGCACTTCAGGGGGGACTGGGGTCATCCTGAGCATGTGGCCTTGAGCTGTTAGAAACTATGCTAGTGTTTGTTCTAGTCTCTTAGTGGGGTGAGTAAATAAAATCATTTGTGCTGAGAGGGTGCAGTTTTTATAGGCCCAGGTTGAGGCCTGATCAAGAAGAGGGCTTGGAGGAGCCTGAGTAGAATTTGGTCAAGGAGAGTCTTCGTCAACATGGAGTAAAGTAATCTGGTGACGAGATGAAAGAATTAATATGCAGGGATTAGTTAAGTGAGAGAAGTTGTATCAGAGAATGAGATGCCTGACTTTAAGATTTCAGAGGTAATGTTCTTCTGAGTAATGGCAAGATCCTAGGTAAGGCCATGGAAGGTGGGTGGCAGAAGTAGAGAAGGTCTTTGGCGATGAGGAGATCAAAGAACAGAGTTTGGGAAAAAGTCATCCACATGAATGTTGACATCACCTAAGATAACAGCAGGATTTGTAGGGGAAGACGAAGGTGGTCCAGGTGTCAGATTCCAAGGGATGGAGACTGGTGGCCTGGAGCTTTCTGGGTGTCTGCAGTGAGGACAAGCAGAAGCGGGAAAGCCCTAAAGAAGGAGATAAGGAGGAACTCTGAACCCTGAGGTATGTGTGGTAGCAGGTGGCGGAAAGCTCAGCCTCCAGAGGAAGGGCTACAGGGGAGTAACAGCCAGGTTTCAGTGTAAGCCAGCGTTGGAGAGAGATGTTAAGCATGGAGGTTAGAAAGAGAAGGATTGGGTAATTTTTCAGAGGACACTGGGAGACTTAGAATGTAGGGAAACAAGTGGAAATTAGGTCAAGAAAGGAAGCCCAGAATAGCAAGGGAGTTGGGAATATAACTGTGTTCCATCTTGGAGATGGAAAGAAAAAGATGTATTATACTGTTTAATAGAGCAAGATTTGAGAAACTAAAATAGCCTTGTGCCTAATTACAAGAACATTTTACAGAAACATTGAACTCTTATATTTAAATTTTTACAAAATAAATGGAGTGATTTATTCCAGCAGCCACCTCAGAATATTCCAGAATATTCGTTTCTTTTACATATGCTTTTTCTAACTTGAGTAGGAGTTGATATAGAACTGTTGCTATGGTGAAGTGCATTCTTTTTTGCAGGGTATAAATTTATATATAGGGATAGAGTTGAAAAAGAACTTACTATGTAAAACTCAATTTAAAATATTTTATAGGTGTTAATTATAAAATATAGCCTGAAAATAATTTCCTGAAAGTCAAATGGTATTGTTGCTTTTGATAATCATGTAATTTTAAGAAATGGTCTTTTGTACATGTAATTTTAAGTATACTTTTCTGGATTCTGTATTATATGAACTTATTCTAGTGCTTCTGAATAAGCGAACTTTCTGCCCACCTTCTCGCTCCTGGTTTTAAGAATAGTCTTTTTTTTCCCCTCACATTTCATTATCTTGCATTTATTTATGAATTTTTTATTAGCATTATTTTATGAATATTCTTATGGATTTTGACACACTTGATGTTAGTGTTGTACTTGTGTCAGGCTTACAAAGAAGAAAGAGACATAATACCTCCCTAATCTGGTGGGAGATATACCCAATTAAATTAACACAAATAGAATACGTATTTATAAAGGCTATGAGGGAACTAACAGATTACCTGGTAGAAAAATTGGCAACCAACTTGAACAGGCATTTCAGAGTAGAGGATATCAAAATGGTCAATAAACTGACATTTTTTTTGGCTGCTATATACTAGGTTTTCTGGCAGAAATATAGCAAAGACTCAGAGAGGAACTGTGACTTTGAGGTGCTTGTGGGACATTGGGTGGAGATCCTAAGGTGCAGGTGGATATAAAGCCCAGGAGAGAGGTGTGAGCTGGAGTTACAGATTTTAGAATGGTCCTGATGTGTGTACAGGGAGTTTAGACTCGAACTCTCACTCAAGGAGAGCGTATGAAATGTCAGGAAGGCTGATGGCAAAGCCCTCACAGGCACTAACGCTGGAGGAGTGGTGTCACTGAAAGTAGGTTCACATGAAGAGAGCCTCTCAAGAATCTTTTAGACGTGTTTTCTCTACCTTTTTTTAAAAAATTTAGAGTTCTAGTTTAATCTGAGCATCAAAAAGATAAAAACAAAAATACAATGGTAACAAGATGCTGTTGTGTATTCCTTACTATCCTTTAAGACCTAGCTCTGCCTCAGCTTCTAGGAAACCTTGTTTGACTTCTCTAAGCAGAATTGAAAGGAATGCTCTTTTAAACTTGCTTTTTGTTCCCTTCCCTGACTCACTGCATAGTCTGAGTAGACTTAGCAGCCACTGGGTCTTCCCACCTCCATCTTACCCACCTCTAGTTCATTCTCCACTCCGCAGCCACAGGGCGTTTCCCAGCCTGTCACGTCACTCTCCCATTTGAATTAATGCCTACAGTCCAGCCGTGTAGTTCCCAAGTCACTAGATCTCTGGGTCTTGGCAAGTGGTGTTCCTTCTGCCTAGAATGTCATTCCCCACACTGTACACTGCTGCCTTACACCCCCAGCCCCCACCCCACTGCTCTGTGGCTCCTGCTTGTCTTTTGAGTCTTGTCTTGGGTGTCACCTCTTGCACTCAGCCTTTCCTAAGTGGATGCCCCTATCACATACCCACAACGATCTGTATCTCCCCACTTTAGTACTTATTCTGCTATATTATAACTGCCTTCTTTTTTGGCTGTGGTTCTCAGGGGACTAAGCTTGAAGAGAGCAGGGAATGTGCTTCTCTGGTTTGGTTTTGGTCCCACTGTCAGTCACAGTTCTCTGGCACAAAGCGGGCACCCAGTCAGGTTTGTTGAGTTAACAAGGATTAGCTAGAAGCCTTGAGCACTCTCCAAGTCTCACTTTCAATATTTGCCTTTTTTCTTCACAAAATGTTATTTTTTAGGATATTATATGGGGATTTCACAACTTTTGGAATAAATATACTGTAGAACTAGAAGGGAAATTAGGGATCATTTAGCGTAGCCACCTCTTCATACCTGTGAGTAAACTGAGGCCCACTAAGGGGAATTGACCTGCCCGAGGTTACCCACGTCAGGTAGTCTTCAACTCTTTCTCAAAATGTAGAAGTATTCTAAGGTGAGCCAGTGCTCTCCACCCTTTTTCAGTTCATAGCGCACATAGAAAATGGTAGTACTTTGATGGTACATTGGAGTAAAAGGAGAAGCAAAAGGTTGCCCAGAGCGAAAAGGTTTCCCAGGCTGTCTCAGCCCCACCTGGCCCCTTGAGGGTTAGGAGGTCAGCATCTTGGCACACTTGCAACCTGCGAGGTAGACCAAGGCACAGTGTGCCAAGACGTGCTGCTCGGGAAACGCCACCGTAATCCACTACAGTCTCGGGATCGTTAGCTTATTAACCCTAATGACTTTCTAATGGATGGACTTTTGACAATAGATTTAAGTTGGGGTTTTTAGTTTGTTT